ATAATTACTGTCCGATTATAAACACAAAAATTACATTTCTTAATTACTGCGGATAATCTGATTAGTCAAAATGATACAATTTTCAAAGCGCTAAAAAATGATCATCTCATAAGGACATTTTGAAAGGTTGATGTTGCTTTTAACTAATTTTATAATATTTTTTTAAAACAATTTAAATGTTTTTAAAAATCTATTATAATTAAAGAAATAACAAATAATTGTATTAAAAATTCATTTTTCATTGAAAAAATTTTTTTGCTTTCAGAAAATATTGTCCATATTCATAAAAACAAATAAAACAAATAAAAAGCATTTGAAATTAAATAATATATTTGTTTTATTGAGTTTTGTATGTTACAATTCACAGCTGATTTTCAGGTACGTTGGCCAAAAAAAAAAAAAAAAAAAAAATTTGATTTGCATTCTTCAAAGCCTTGTGCTTTTAACTATTGTAATCACTAAAACCGATGGTCTCGAATTTCTAGTTTTTTCATAAAATTAGTTATGGGGGTTAATAAATATAAAAAAAAAATTTCTGCCATGACTTTAATAAAAAAAAATATTTATAATAATTTCGATCATCTGTGAATAGTTTCTGAAAGTTTCATTAACATCCGACAATTATTTTTATTTTTGCAAGATTTTCCAAATTAATGTGTGTAAATAAAAAAAAAAAAAAAAATTATCTATGTTATTTTACTAGTTCCGTTGATACAAAGAGAAACAAGGTTTTTAAATCAAAATTTAGAATATTCTAAAAAATGGAAAAATTTTTAAAAATAATTAAAAAAAAAACTTAGTCTATCCTCTTCATAAAAACATAAGCATTTTGACGATAAAATTTTGTTTTCATAAAATTTGGCGTCTTTTTCATCAGACTATGCTCTTTGTTTTAGCGATTCCGTGGAGTTACTTAGGTTAAAAAACCCAGGTTGTTTTATAAAATTGTGTGTGTGTGTGTGTTGTGTGTGTGTGTGTGTGTGTGTGTGTTTTGTATTTGTGATCGTGTTTCCTATATATATATTCATTTATATTATATTTAAAAAAATAAACATTTTTTTTTTTGGCAGGTAGTATTTCTTATTGTCTTTGCAAGGATTTTTCTTTATATTTACATTCAGAATGCTTTAAAAATTCCATTTACAAGACAATTGTTTATAATAAAATTCTATTCACCAATCGATAGACTCATAACGATTGTAAACAATGTTTTTGTTTGAATTTGGGTTTGACCAATTCGTAAAAAAAAAAAAATTAAACAATTAAGTTGCGTGTCCGTCAACCTTAAACAATAATCTTTGTCAATTTTATTTTTCAGTTTTATGATGGTCGATACTTGATCTATCTCTTACTGTTACATCCCCTATGCAACGCCGGGGTTTTTTTATATATATAAGTATATATTTAATAATATTTATTATACACGAAAATTTATATTTATTTATATATTAATTTCCTAGAATTATTGATCAATCTATTCAATGTTTCATATTTTTTTTCAATTTTTTCAAACATTTTTTGATTTTTTTGTAATATTTTTAATAGTTGTATTTATATATATTTAAAATTTAAAATTATAATATATTTTCAAATATTGTATTTTTTAAGTTGTAAAATAACCTATGTCTATGTTTCTTTTTTTTTTTTTTTAAATAAATATATTTCTTACATTACATTACAATTTTAATCCTCAAAAAAAAACTAAAATATATTTAAAACTAGTTTTTTTTTTTTCTATATATTTTAATTCCTCACACTGTAACAACATAAATTAAAATTAAACATAACCTTTGTCTACATCTTATTTGTAATAAATATCATTCAATATATTTATTAATAATATCTATAATTATATATATCTATGATATATTAAATTTTTAAAACGTTTATGGAATATTTTCCGAAAATTTTAAAATTGAATAATCTAGATTGTCAATCTTAAAATGTAAATTTACCTCTCTATATATTTTATTCTAATTCATATATATATATGTCATTATATATATATATATAAATTTATTTTAAAAATATTTTTCAACAAATACATTTTTTTTTTTCAAAAAAAGAGTTGAAAAAACAAATTTCAATTATTTGAATTTCCAAATAAAGTACATAATATTGTTTATATTTTATATTCATCTTTTGAAATTTTTTATCAAATAAAATCATTCCTTCTTTTTCGCGTTTAAAATATATATATATATATATTTGTTATATATATTAAAATTATAATGGTATCTAAATGAGCAATTGAAGAAAAAAAATATCAGTTAAGGATTAATTGGTTTCAATATCAATAATCTTTACATTTTTAGACGTCAAGTCAGATATTTTTAAAAATCGAATATTGACTAAATTTGAAAATTTTTGTTTTTCAATATTTGGATTAAATTTTCTATATATATATATATATATATATATATATATATATATATATATATATATATATATATACATAACATCAATTCTTTTGTGACATATATCATTCTATAAAATTTCAAATTATTTTAAATTTATATGTTGTTTATTATATTTGATATATCTATATTTCAACATATATATATATTGGCGATATATTTATATATATATATATATATATATTAATATTATTTAATATATATTTATATATATATATATATATATATATATATGATATATATTTATTCTAAAAAAAAATTTTTAGGAATTACAATTATAGTCGGATTTTATCTAAAAAATTAATGGATCCCAAATCTATAAAATTCAATATAATCATATATATATATATATATATATATATATATATATATATATATATATATATAAAATATATATATATATATTATATGGTATAAAATTATTTATCTATTGTTAAATATATTTGATTTAATAAAGGAATCAAAACAAAATAATTTCATTATTCTAATAAATATATTGATATCTTTATTTTTTAACGAAAGGAATGTTTTATGATAAAAACAAAAATTTATACATTTTTGTATATAATATATAACCATATTTTTTAATAAATTTTATTAATAATAAAAACATATATATTTTGAAAATATATCCAAAATATATCTGCATAATTTATATTTTATATAAATTTTTTAAACATGAAATAAACTTTTTAAAATGAAAATTAATGTTTCAATAAAATAAAATATTTTATCAGTATAAAATCATTTTTTCGCAGTTTATTTTAATAAAATGATATTTTTATCTTAAAACTTTATCACCGATAATTTTCCAAAAATTTAAAAATGTAAATTTGCATTTTAACCTTAATGTTGATATTTTGAAAGTTTTCTCACATTGAATTTATTTCATTTAAAAAGGGAAACCTAAAAATGATAAATCATGTATGGATAAAAACGGTTTTATCATGAATATTGATCAATAAATTCTTTTTCTTTTTATATTCAAAATCATTTTAAATATTTTGTCAAATTTTTTATTTTGACTCAAACTAAATTATTTATAAACATATTTTTGACATTTAAAATCTATCATGATTTTTCCATTGATTAAATATTAAGAAAAATATAAATTTCATAAACATTGAAAATAAAAATTCAATTTTGCCTCTATATAATATATATATATATATATATATATATATATATATATATATATATATATATATATATATATATATATATTTTATCTAACTATTCTATCTTATTCATATATTTTTTAAGTCAACATTTGAAAATTTATTGTCTCTTAATATATCTTAAAATTTTCGTTTTATATATTATATTTTTATATTGTCATATGAAAATTTAATTTTCTAATTAAAATTATATAATCATCTATTTTTATATATATTTTATGAATATATATCTGTTATATATCATATATATATATATATATATTAGGTATATATATTATATATTTATATATAAATAAATTCATCCTATTTGTTGAAATTTATCTATAATGCATATTTTTATTTTTTATATTTATTTAAAAATTATTTTTTTTTTATTTATCTAAATCTATATTATATGAAAATCTATCTTCTATCTCTATCTATCTATATTCATCTATCTATCTTGATATATCCATTTATAATTTTATATATCTCTTTATGATTAATCATAAATTTGCATTTATTTATATATATATATAAATATATTCATATATAGATATATATATATATTATCTATATTATCAAATATCATATCTATAATATAATCTTTAAATATATCTATTTTAATATCAAGCATTTTGATCACACATCATTCATTTCTATTTATGATACAACTATTATATATATATATATAAATCTATCTAATACAATATCTCATCATTTATATAAATAAAATGAAGAAATCAATTTATATATATCTATATATCTAAATCTATCTAATCAATTTTTCAAATCAAAAAAATTTAAAAATCTTTCTATCTATCTATTAAGTATCAAAGATATTTATAAAATCAATATGAAAATCTATCTGATCTATTTAACTATTATCTATCTATCTATCTATCTATCTATCACTATCTCATCTTTTTCTATTTTTATTCTATCATTTATATATCTATCTATCTATCTTTCTTCTACTTGTTCATTTTATATCTATCTATCTATCTATCTATCTATCTATCTATCATCTTTTTTATCTATATATCTAGTCTTGTTTTTATTTTTATCTATCTATCTATCTATCTATCTGTATCTATCTCTAATCTATCTATCTCATCTATAAAATTTGTTGAAAAAAATCAAAATTAAAATCTAATCTATCTATCTATCTATCTATATATTTATCTATTTATCAATCTATTTATATAAAAAAAAATCTATCTATTTATCTATCTATCTATCTATCATCTCTATCTATCTATCTATCTATCTATCTATCTAAATTAAATCTTTCTATCTATCTAAATATCTATCTATTTCTATCATTCATCTATAATCATCTATCTATCTATCTATCTATCTATATATCTATTTTTCTGTTCATTTATCTATCTATATATCAATCTATCTATCTATCCATCTATCTATGTATCTATCTATCTATCTATCTATTCATTTTATCTATTATATCTATCTATCTATCTATCTATCTATATCTATTTATTTGTTCTTATCTATCTATCATTCTATCTATCTATTTATTATCTATCTATCTATTATTCATTCATCTATTTATCTATCTATCTATCATATTCAGTCAATCATTTTCTATCTATCTATCTATCTATCATATATTTTATCTATCTATTATCTATCTATCTATCGTCTGTTCATATCATCTATTCATCTATCTATCTATCTATCTATCTATCTTTCTATCTATCTATCTATCTATCTATCTATTATTCATCTATCTATCTATCTATCTATCTTTCTATCATCCTATTCATCTATCTATCTATCTATTATCTCATTTATCTATCTATCTATTATCTATCTATCTTTCTATATCTATCTTCGTCTGTTCATTTTCTATCTATCTATCTATTCTATAATATCTATCTATATTTTCTTCTATCTATCTATCTATTCATATCTATTTATATATCTATCTATTATCTATTATCTAAGATATTTTTCATTTTCTATCTATATTTATCTATATATCTATCTATCTATTTATCTATTATCTTCGTCTATTTATTTTATTTTATAATCTATCATCTATCTATCTATCTATCTATCTATCTATCTATCTATCTTCGTCTGTTCATTTTCATTTTCTATCTATCTATCTATCTATCTATAAATTATCTATCTATTATCTTAACTTCATTTTACATATCTTTCTTCACTCTATCTATCTATTTTTATTCGTCTTTCATATGTTCATCTATCTTTTTATCTATCTATCTATCTATCTTCATCTATCATTTTCTATCATATTTTAAATCTATTTATCTATCTATTATCTATCTATCCATCTATCTATTTTCGTTTATTTTCTATTTATCTATAATATTTATCTATCTATTTCATCTTTTATCTTCGTCTTTTCATTTTCTATTTATTTTATCTATTTATCTATCATCTATCTTCATTCATCTATATTATCTATCTATTTATGTCATTTTTTTATTATCTATAAATCTATTTTCTTCATTTTCATCTATTTATCTTCGATTTCATCATTTTTGTGGGAAATCTATCTATCTATCTATCTATCTTATGTTTTCTATCTATTTCTGTCTTTTCATTTTCTATCTATTTATCATAGATTTTTTTCTCTATCTATCTATTTTCGTCAAGTTCATTTTTATTCTATCTATCTATCTATCTATCTATCTTCTCTGTTCATTTTTTATCATTTATCTATCTATCTATCTATCTATCTATCTATCTTCATTTTCTATCTATCTATCTATCTATCTATCTATCTATTTCTTTTTCATTTCTATCTATCTATCTATCTATCTATCTATCTATCATTTTCTATCTATCTATCTATCTATCTTCGTCTGTTCATTTTCTATCTATCTATCTATCTATCTATCTATCTATCTATCTATCTATCTATCTTCGTCTGTTAATTTTCTTCATCTATCTATCTATCATCTATCTATCTATCTATATCTATCTATCTATCGTCTGTTCATTTTCTTTCATCTATCTATCTATCTATCTATCTATCTATCTATCTATCTATCTATTATATCTATCTACAGGTAAAAATCCGTAGGTATATAATCCAAGTGAGTCCTTAGAATATAAAATATTAAAACTAATCGACAAAGTGAGTTCAATGTATTTATTATAACAGAGCATATATAAATAACTAAATTGCATAGAATAGAAATGTAAAATGACCCCATTTGAATAGCTATTTTACCCTACAAGGGCTTACGTGCAGCTCTGTTTAGACGATTTGCTGCGTCTTGTTATATTCTTTCCTCCTTTTCGTTTTTTCCTTTTTTCTTTTACTTTTTCATCTTTCTTCTTCTTCTTTCTTTATTCTTTAAAAGTTTAACATTTTTAAGTTACTACTTTATTTTATTTCTTCACTCCTTGCTGCGGGCAAATCCTGCAAGTAAGTTCTTATAAGGTGAAATAGCTATTCAAAAAGGCTAATTTTCTATGTAATATATATATATATATATCGAATTGTTATAACGTCGAATTCTGACCATGAGACCCGGGTTCAAATCTCACCATAGTCGATTTGTCAGGAAGGAGACTTTCTGATGTTATCGGACTGGAGGCACTTTCCAAAGGTGAACTGTGCGGCACCTTTGGAAAGTTCCAGAAAAAAAAAACATACCACGAGTTTACCCAAGCCTTGTGAGTGAAATAGTATATACGTAACTCTTGGGAGCCGTCGACAGCTGTACTAGCACAAAGTCACAAGTCATCGTTACCTAGGCCTTGGGCGTGATCGCCTTGTTCAAATTGTTAGTTGGTAATATCCACGCTCTTTTGAATAAATACAGAAACTAAAAAGCCTATAGTTGCAATATAAATATATATATATATATATATAATTCCACAGGGATAATTTTTATTGGGATAATTTGTCTCACTAAATTAATTAGGACTGAGGAGTCAGTCTAATCGTCATTGGAGGTTCCATACACTCGTCCTTGCGTCACAACTCGACTTCGTTTAGAAAATCACTATATTTTTCATGGAATATTCGGATTTATTAGTATTTATTCATTTATTAGTATCTTTATTAGTATTTATTCATTTATTATTATCTTCTTTTATTAAATCTCTCTTCTGCATCCACTAGTTTTTCCTTCTCGCCATTTCATCCAACTTCCTTTGGCCTCTTATATCAAGTAAGGAAGCATGGTTAGTTTTTAAAGTCCTTGACTTGAGGTATTTTAAACCACGTTGATATGGCAATCTGAGCAGTTTCCAGTTCAATCCAATCCGGGAATTATTGCTTGGTATTGGACTCCTCGGGTCGGGGAGACTAAGATACTTCATCGTGCAAATCGACCAACCTTTGCGACATTATCTCCCTGTCGATGAGTGCAATCCGTGGCGCCCCACCCTCTTTTTCCACTGGATTAAGGCTTAAACCCGATACTTGAAAGCCTTAACCAGGTTACTGCGTGCAACTGACACTATTTGTAAACTCACTTTCTCAGGTTCTTCACGATTACATCTTACAACCGTTAATTATATATAGATAGAACAATATACACTAAAATATATACAATTACATACATACAGAAACACACACACACACACACACACATATATATATATATATATATATGAGATAGCGATATATATTTTAATATATCAAGAAAAATATTGGGGGAAAACTGTAAGACAAGAAAAGTTTTCGCGTGACGCATTTCGTCCTTTAGGAATTCCTCGGACTAAATTTTGAGTCCTGGCTTTTACAACGTTTACCATTCCTGACAGCATTTTTATTATCACAGTGTGGCATATCTAATAATGAAAGTGATGGAAACAAAAAGAAAAAAATAAAATCTAAATGAAATCGGCTACATAAAAAATAAAAAATTTGTTTTAAATTCCCAGCATGCCTCGTTCGTGCGCATGCGTAGTCGCACCAACAACACATAATAAATTTAGTCCGATGAAGTCCTAAAGGACGAAACGCGTCGCACGAAAACTTTTTCAACTTTGTCAGATATTTTTCGCCAATGACGCCAAATCGGTCGGGTTTCGATCCCGGCTTGAAGCAATCGGACATCTAGACACACTGAAGAGCTGTGATACAACAAAACAGTCTGTCTGTGGATATATATATATATATATATATATATATATATATATATATATATATATATATATATATATATATGTGTGTGTCTGTGTGTGTGTGTGTGCGATATTGTGCTAAAATCTCAGCTCGACTAAGAATAACTGACCGTTTGCGCAACTGACCAATTGATGCCATTTATTTGGTAACCAGTTAGGGAGATCATTAAAACGCATGAATAAACAGAATCTTTTATATCGGTTGAGTCTAGGTATTGAAACGACATTGAATGAACTTGTGTACTGTGCCACCGTCGCATTCAGAATGTGACTACGCCCATCTATTCTGCACGTCATATGTATGTATGTATGTATGTATGTATGTATGTATAAACTGGCCACTCGTACACGAGGATACCTCTCTACTAGGGCGGCCAGCCAATCCCTATGGTGTATTTGTGTTTATTCAACATTCACAGAACCCACCTGTTGTTTATACTGCGACTATTCTGAGCAGATCTTAGTTACAGTTTCTGGGAAAGAGCGTGTTATCTAGCGTGATCAACATTTTGAACAAGGTCAGCACGCTCAAGCCCTCGGCCACGATGTCTTGTGACTTCGTGCTAGCACATATATCGACCTCCCCCATGGCCCCGTCTATACAATTTCAATCACAAGGCTTGGGTCAAACCATGGTATGGTTTTCTGGCACTTCCCAAAGGTCTCGCACGCTAGACTCGACCCCTCTAGTCCGATAACGTCAGGAAGTCTCCAAATCGACCACGGTGAGATTCGAACCTTGTCTTATGGTCAGAATGCAAACGTTGTAACCAGTCGGCCACGTACTCATGGCATGTCTTATACAGGTATTAATAAAAAATATCATCCTCTATTCCGGAATATATTTGGATCAATGAAACTTCTTCCAAATCTAAAATTGTTGTCAAAACATCATGAACGAATTGAAGGAGAAGACTAATATTAAATATATGATAAAAAATATTACCGTATTTTCCGGCTTACAAGACGCTGCGGCTTGGAAAATGCACGCTAATATTGGAAAGAAATTTTTAAGAAAAAAAGTCATTCTCATACAACATATTCACCATACTCACACCACGTATTGTTTACATTAATTACTCGTCCGATTTTCTTTGTATGTCAATGACATACTAGTCAAGAGCCGAAAGATCCCAGCCGCTGCTTGTAAACAGAGCTTGTGGCTCGGCTCCAGGAAGGTTTATAGTCTTGAAAATACTTGCTAAGTCCTGAGGTTACATATCAAAGGCTGAATTAGATAGATAGCTAACATTATAGTGTAATGACTCAAAATTCAAATCCACGTCCCTATCAGTCAAGCCGAATGGTTGATCGTCCAAGCTTAGTTGAGCCTGGGCGTTGCCTTACATTCGTCTTGGAAGACACACAGGTATTTTTCAGGGTATTTTAAAGGAAAAAAGTGCGTCTTGTAAGCCGGAAAATACGGTAATTAAAATTAATATGAATTAATTAAAAATAAATGGCTGGATATTTGATGGACAAACTCTTTCTCTCTCTCTCTCTCTCTCTCTCTATATATATATATATATATATATATATATATATATATATATATATATGCGCGCGTGTGTGTGTGTGTGCGTGTGTATGTAGTTAGATTTACGCATATAGAGATTTTTATTGATATATATATATATATATATATATATATATATATATATATATATATATATATATATATATATATACTAAGGTGACCAAACTTGCTTAATTTAAGAGCCACATACAATAAAGTTCAGATGTTTGAGAGCCGCAAGACATGAACGAAATTTACACATACGTTTTTATGGCATACACATTAGCATTAAACTTACGTTTTAATCCAATGGCGTCTCAAATCATACCCAGTAAATAATTATAAAGCTTGAAATTTTCCTTATTTACTTTTTATATGAACTTTGATGAAAAAAGGAGCTCGGCTAACATATTCCCACGAGCCGCTTATTAAATATGAAAGAGCCGGATAGGACTCGTTAGCCGCACCCCCCACCGATTTATATCAATATATATCTTTTTGCATACATATGTAACTCTATGTGTGTGTGTGGGGGGGGACTTTGACGTGGTGTAATGATTAGCAAGCTTGTTTCGCTAGTTCAATTAAAATTAAAAAGCGAGTTCGATCCTCACTGAGAGCTCCAAACATTCGGCC